AAAAACGCGAAAAGTCGGCAAAAGTTGCCATCACAAAGAACTATTATATACCGCCCAAAGAAAAACAGTTAAGAAAAAAGATACGTACTGCCTGTGGGAGGGAGACAACCAAGAAAAGGCTTATTCTTCCTTGAAAAGCAGATACACAGTAGATGTGCCCCCAGGCTGAGATCTGCGAGATAAGACCGGCAATACAGTGAATAGCACGTTTTACTCGGATGTGAAGAAGAGTGGTTCGATTCCTCCGGGGTTCATAACCATTATCGAAAAGGGGCTCAGTTCACGAAAGATGATTTGTGCTAGTACATGTTCCAGTTGATCTAATTCCAAGTGTCTCAGAGATTTTTTTTCTGGCTCGAATACATAAACCAAGCTTACTGCATTAGCAATTGCATAGCCGGATTTGACAGGAGAATTCCAGCATGTAAGCTGCATCTTGTCGTATCTTCATCGTCCCTGTATCCAACTGCAACCGGACGATTCCAATTCACATGATTCACAAATCGCATAAGTTCGAACGGATTTACATAAGTTGTATCGGGCATTATATAGTACCAATCGTACTTTTCATGCATTGTCTGAAGAAAAAAAAAATACGTTCATCAACAAAACTCCAACAAAAAAGATTTTCAAAAATTTGAAGAGACCAAAAGTAGATTCCGAAACTCAAGGATTTCCATGAACACTGCCCAAGTTTTGAGGTTCAAAGATTAAACCTAACAACTTCAAAAAGTAATCCTAAAAAATTTGTCGTTGGCCTCCAAAAGCTGTTTTCTTCTCGAAAAGCGCTTCTGCGCTAGCTATTTCTAGACCACTACAGTCAAATTTATACCAATCGACGCTGAATCAAGCTTAAATGTGATCCCGGGATTCTCTTCTCCCAAGTTACCTTTTTTATCAAGCAAAATGTTCGATACAACCCAGCCCTTTTGCTCCAAGTATGATTCAGCAATTCATTCACAAACACTATCTCTAACATCCAGGACCTTTAGGAAGTTTTAGAAAACGTGTACGAAATTATGCAAAAAAAATTTTTTTTTGTGAAAAAAACACTGCATATGAATGCAAAAACTATACAAAATAACCACGCAGTTCCTACGTGTTCGCTTCACATGGTTCC